GGAAGTTTTCGTGTTTTAAAGGACCACCTTCTTCTTCACCTCTTCAGGCTGATGAAGGGAAATCACAATTAACTGTGTAGGATTCTATGGTGGTTCATGTCTAAGTCATGGGGGTAGAAGGGCTGAACAATAGAAACATTGCCTGAGGAACTCACACTATTAGCTATACAATGAGAGCTATCTACCTGCTAAATAAGCCTTCTATGGGGAAACTGGAGCCCTGGTGGCGCCGTGGTTAACAGCTATGGCTGCTAACCAAGAGGTTGGCAGTTCAAATCCACCAGCTGCTCCTTGGAAACCCTATGGGGCAGGTCTACTCTGTCCTATAGGGTCACTATGAGTCGAAATTGACTTGACAGCAACAGATTTTTATGGGGAAACTGCTCTGTCTTTCTGAAAGGTGGTTGTGGAGCTATTTGGCCATTCAACATGCAGTCCATCCATTGAGTATTCCACCACAACTGGTAGCTATAAATTGACTGAAAAGGCTGAAAATGAGCTTAGTTCACAGCCTTCCATATGAAGGGACTAAGAAGGCTTGATCAAGAATCCATGTTAACTTTATAGGACTATTTCAGAGGAAGAATATCTTGATTATGGTAGAATTCTTTCCAAAGTGGCCCAAATGTTTTGAGTTTCATCTTTAGCGTCTGCTGCTCTATAGTAGATATTTGTAGCAAATGGATATCCAGCCATTACTGTTTATGACCAGCGGACCTGCGTCTGAGTTTAAAGGCCTTGTGAACAGGCCCTATTACTTGGCTGTAAGCTCGTAAGCCTTGATAAAAAATTCAGGCTGAATGGATGGTTATCAGCAGCTAAGATTGACCTAAGGTGAACAGAACACTGATCACTCAGTAAGCTGTTATTACTCCCGTAACTGGAGTCAGCTGTGACTGACTGCCCACTATTAATGGAGGCAATATCTCAAGATAAGTCTGCTTCTATTTAAACTTAAGGATTTATAAGATCAACTTGCATCTAGAAATAACTACCATTTGTTGAGTGCCTACCATGTGCCAGGTTTTGTGTCAAGCCCTTGGTATACATTATCACACTTAAATTCTCATAAAAACCATGTTGTAACGATAACAACCAACATTTATTAAACCATCACTATATGCCAGATGCTGTGTTGACAGCTTTACATATATTGTCTCATTTAATATTCATTACACCATTTGATATGGCTATTACTATTATTCTTCCCTAACAAAAAAGGACACTGGGGTATAGTCAGGTAGGAAAAGCGAAGCCATGACATATTCAATAACAGAGCTCCCCCCAGGGCTTGTGCTCCTAATCACTACACAGCAATGCCTTGCTGTAAGGTGGATGGACTGATCAGGTACATTTTACTAATGAGGGAACTGCAAGTAACTTGTTCAAGGCCATACTGTTAGAAAATTGTAAAGAACATTATGGGAACCCAGTGTGTCTGTCCCTAAACCCTGAGCCTGCTTTTGCCAATTCACCATTTGCCTTCCTGTTCTAGACTTCTCTATTGATATGTGTGCTTCAATAATTTGTAAACAAGGTTTACACTCTTAGAAATTACAGAGTAGGAAAAATGGGGGTCCCTGCTTCTGTGAAGTCATGGTACCTGAGTTACACAAGGTTGAACCCAAAGGTGAGCCAGTAAGTCATTCCCCCAACCTGGCGGAACCATTAGTATTTTGGATGCTTTACATACTTTTCTTCTTTATATTCTGTATTTTCTAAATTTCTACAGTGAGCAGGTATTTTTAAAAGTAAATGTTCACAGGTGACATATGAATACATTTCATATGTTAAAACATTCAGCTACACAAAGACCTTTCCTTAAATTCTTGACTTCCCCTTCCCCATTCCAATCTTTTTCCCAGAGGTAACCACAGGTAGAATTTTAGTATGAATTCCTCTAGTCTTGTACTGTCCTATACGGTAGCCACTACCTACATGTGGCTACTGAGCACTTGAAATGTAGTAGTTCAAATTGTGATATGCTGTTAAGCACAAAATATATGCCAGATTTAAAGACTTAGTATGAAAAAAAAAGTAGAATATCTCCTGAATGATTTTTATACTGATTCTTCAATAAGCAAAAAAAAAAAAACAAACCCATTGTCATCGAGTTGATTCCGACTCATAGCGACTCTATAGGACAGACTAGAACTGCCCCATAGGGTTTCCAAGGCTGTCAATCCTTATGGAAGTAGACTGCCACATTTTTCTCCTGTGGAGCAGCTGATGGGTTTGAACTGCTGACCTTGCAGTTAGCAGCCAAGCACTCAACCAATGAGCCACCATGGCTCCTTTTGATTTTTGGATATAAAGGGTTAAATTAAAAAATATTATTAACTTCATTTCTCTTGTTTCTTCTAACCTTTTTTAATATAGCTACTAGAAAATGTGGCTCACATATTTCTATTAGACAGCCCTGATCTAGAGTCTAGATCATTTTCAATGCATTTATATACACTTATCTGTATATACAGAAATATGTAGCTTTTTGGTGTTTTCTAACACAAATATGCATTACTTTCATATTTGGATTAAAACTTTTTCTAAAAGGAAGTATAATCTTTAAATATAATAGACATTAAGATTTCTCTGTCTTTATTTTATACTTTTTGACAACCTACCAAGCCCCAGAGTGAGGGAAGCAATAATCATTCTTCCCTATACAAATGCTGAAGTGAGCACACCTAATATTTGAATTAATTTAACACAGGTACAGGCGTACAAAAGGATATCCTCTTGTTGGATAAAAGAAAGTGCAAGTAAATGGAGAAAGGCACAGGTGACTTTGGCATTAGTGGGTCCTAGACAACAGACATACATGAAGCAGCTGCATTTGCCAAAAATGCCCACTAGTTATTTTTAAATAAGTAAATCACAACTTTTCTACTCTTATCATGTCATCTCTTTCTCTCAGATATTTTTTGCAGTAGGCATAACCCTATTACTTTGTGTTGGGTGACTACTCACCGCTAGCCACTTTTTAAATTTGATCAATATCGCCTATAAAGTGCCACATCAAAACACTGCGTTAGTTCAGCTCCTGAATCCTGATAGCTCATAAAAATAAATGCTGATGTGTGTAACCTACGCAATCACGACTTTGCTAAGTTCTGACTAGTGGAGGTAGTATTGCAAGATTTTATAATGTATCTAACAGATTTTATTTTGTCTAAGTAAAATCCAACAATGGCCAGTTCAGTGGACGATGCAGAAGAAATGCTCCCAAAGAAGCTTCCCCAATCCCCCACTTGAAAAATGGCTGAATCTACATTAATAATTTGCACAGCCTGCACCCGTGTAAATGGCCTGAGAACACATACACATGCAGCACATTCTTGGGCTGGTATGGAAGAGTGTTTAATGCATTCTAGCACGAAAGGCCTGAGCGCATACAAAACATTACCAGCTCTTACTTGGCCTCAGTGCAGAACCTCCTTGAGGGCAGGAAGAGAGAAAAAAGAACACTAGGCATGAGCAGAGGTACTGTGATAACTCTTATTATTTCCATTCCTGGGAATGCTCCTTGGTGTTTTGTCCCATTTGTGCCCCTGTGGTTACAATTACATGCTGCCTTGGTAAAGGACTGCAGTTGAAGGCTGGCTTCTTCCTTTGTCCATTCATTGCTGCCCCAAGACAAGCTTCCTGATGGGTAAAATGGGGTATTGGATGAGGCATTCCAAATTTTCTTCTAGCTGGTAATTCTCCCGGTCTAACAAACCAAGTTTTTCCTGGGTAGATTCCATGGGGGTTGTTTTAAATGTTCCATATTGGTAGGCCATTTGAAAAATGTATTTTTTTCTTTTCTTCCTATTTCTCGCCATCTTTTTTCTTCATTCAAGGAAGAATAGAGAGAAAGCAAACCAGAAACAAAGACTAGTGGAATACAGAGATGTGAACTTTTTCTGAAGTGCTATATATCACTCCTATTAAGACAACTGTTTGAAATTAAAAAAAAAAAAAAAAAAAAATCCCCTTGAATTAGAATCGACTTCATCTGAGTAGATACCATCTGCTCTTGCAGCCCAACCCCGTCCCTCAGGTCTTGGCAGCTACAGGTGAGTAGGGCCGCCCCCTTCTTCCCCACACTCCTGTCCAAGCAGCTGCCAGGGAACTCTCAGGCAGTATCAGCAGGCAGGAAGTGGGGTGGGGGTGAGGGAGTCTCCACCCATTAGCAGCTGCTTAAATAGTAGGCAGGGGGGAGCTTTTCTACAGAAAAATTCAGGTCAGCAGATACTCCAAACCAATTCACACCACATGCTATCCAGTTGTGGAATTAAATTAAAATGCTAAGAAAGGACCTGGAATGCCAGTCCTGTTGTTTTTTCCCCTACCTTATGCTTGGCACCCAAAAGAATAAAACAAGAACGGTTGGACGTGGCGATTTAAAGGGAATTATTAAGCAACTGGAAGGACGTGAAGGCAGCATACACCAAGGGAAGCTGTCTTCATGGAATGTCATGTACCAACGATTAAATGTCAAGACCCCTCATTGTCCAAGTGGTGACATCTCCACAGGTTTAGTAACTTGCTCATTCAGATTGAACCGAAAGACAAGCTTGACAGATTATCAGAATCTCTGGGGCAGGGGCACAGGTGGAGTGCAGAAAGGAATGAGGTAATTTTTAAAATGACTTCATAATTTAAAACAAAACACAATGTTATCAACTCAGTTGTGCTTGCTACAATCTATTCTAGTTTAATGTAAAATCGAAATTTTGCCAAAAATAGGGAAAACATTTCCAAATAAATCATTATAGATTACATTCAAATTCAAAAATAAAAATGTGTAAACATGTGTTTGTCCATCAGACCTTAGTGCATTTTTGTTAACTCTTTCCTTGTGGAAGAATTTTGCCTCTTTTTTTTATGCTGCTTCCTTAACAATGATTTCCTATGGATTTAACAAGTGGATAAGAGCTCGGATCATATTTCTATATATATATTTAAAACTGTATTTTTTATATTCCGTCAACAATAGGAAAACATTAAATGGTTACCTCTGCAAATGTGTTCCGATTGGCTTGCAAGCCAACTTTTACTACCTCAAAAGGGTTAACCACGATGGCTTCTGTTAGTCCAGATCCCAGTCCAGCAATGGCAAATGTCTAGAGAAATTAAATCAATCAATACTTTAAAACAAGTTATCATGTGTACTGGGTTAAGCATCCTATTCATTACACTGTGCAGCTGACTGTAATGATGAGAATGGAGAAGCCTACATAAACACACCATACACCATTACTAAACAGCTTTAGTTCTTGATTAGATGCTGACAATTCATGAAGAAGAAATTACAGAAGCCACAAACCATATCCTAACAATTCAAAATAAAATGTCAAAGCCCCATCAACAACGGCTTTTTACCTTAACTAAAGGGAAGGCTGTTTTACTGATTCAAGGTGGATACTAAAACATCTGCTCGCATCACAATTAAAAGAGAGTTGGAATCGTAAAAGGAGAGCTTCATTTTTAAACATCTACTTAAATACATTTATTGAGCATATAAAGAAATCCAAGGAGCAGAACCACAAATAAAATGTATATAAAAAGCTAAATTTCAGGTAACAAAAAGCATAGCTGGAAACATTTAAAAGTATAGTCATGTTCCTAGAGTCACTATTCTAGACTATTAAACAAAAATGATTTTTTGTTCATCCTTTCCTTATTTTTTGTATTCTTACAGTGATTGCCCTATTCTTCTGGACCAGAATTAAAAGCCTAGGTCAGGTTGTTTTGAAGGGCTCAACTAAAATCTAGAACACTTATCAAAGGATGACTGTATGTAAGAGTCTCATTTGCTACCTGCTAAGAATTTCTTGTGGAAGAAAGATGTGGCAGTCTTCTTCTGTAGATTACAGCCTTGGAAACCCTATAGAGCAGCTCTACTCCATCCTATAGGGTCATTATGGGTCGGCATTGATTCAATGGCACCCAACAACAACAAGAATTTCTTCAATAGGGAAGAACAATTTTCTAGAATTTTTCTCTAAGTAGAATGCTTACGAGTTTTTTTTATAGAAAAATCTGTATCAAAAATCACCACCACAACAAAAAAACAAACAAACCCACAAAGCAGAAAAACAAAACAAAACAATCAAACCTCCAAAAGAGATACTGGAAAAAAATAATTCTTTAGTGCTGAAGCTCTAATTTCCAGGAGAAGAGGTAGTGCTATATACAACTAGGAGAGAAAAACTACCAATAAAGATTAAAGAACAGATAACTCTTATTAGGGGTCTCTAATATCCTTAAAAGAGGAGAATAAAAGAAAGAAGGGAGAAAGGAATGTTTTCAAACCTTCGATGGGGAGGCAGGGTGGAATGAGGACAGGGTCCATAGCCAGGTCTGGGTTCAGTTCCTAGTTCTGCCACTTATTGGCTGTGTGACCAGGGCGGCCATATACAGTAGTAGTTTGTGCACAGACAAAGGTGCCCAGCCACGGGGGTGCTTGCTTGGAGGCTGAAATCCAGCCTGCACCATGCTTGCCAAGCCTGAGTCGTGGAGAGGTATTAGCTGGAAGTAAGGGAAAGCTTTCTGTAATTCTGCAAAAGCACCATATGTGCTAGCTGTGGCTCTGTGTATAATCATTTAACCTTTTTTAAGCCACAGTTTTCTCATCTGTAAAGTGGAGACAATAATGTCCAATTCCTCTATCTCACAAGAGTATTACGAGGGTCAAAAATATGTGTGAAATGTTTTTGTGAAGTGCTATAGAAACACCATTAGTCTTGTCGCACATAGAAACAGAGAGGAAGAATGGGATAGCATACAGATTCTGGGAGAGGGAATAATAACTAATGAGGTTTTCCTTTTATCCCCTTTCATTACAATTTTAAACACATTTGTATAGGGTAACGGACCAAATATTTTATTCATTTATCTCAGACTTCCATCAGGGAAGCCAAAAGTGGGGGAAAAAAATGCTAGTCCCAAACTCTTCTGACTGGGAAAGTTAAAATCCAGATGTTCAGGATTTTATTACTTACTAAATGAAATCTTCCAAGTAATTCACTTTTTTGTTCTTCTGTAAAACCCAGCTACATTTGCTGTCATAACTAGTGTTCAGCAGTCCCTTGTCAAAAGAATCGATCAGATATCAGCAGATCATGTTACTCAGACTGTTCCAGAGACTGGAGTTAACTGTCTGTTTCCAGCCTCCTAGGCTTTTCATGTAAGAACACCAGGGGACATTAAATGGCTGTTTAAGTATATAGCTTATCAAAAAGAACTAGAATAAATAAGTTGGAGGAAAGAGAAAAACTGTACACAGTTTGCCTGTATTCGGTTATAGTAGCTGGAGTGGCCAAATGCTTTTCGGTTTCAATTCTCAAAAGAGTTGAAAGAACTGCAGTCTCTCACATGTACCAATGCTCGACACAAGAACAGCCAGCTGGCACTCTGGAGACCATATTTTATTGTCTCTTGCTAGGAAGTTTTTAATTCTCTTTTTACCAAGATGTTTCCAAAGTTAAGAATGACAATAAGGGAAGATGCCAGGGAATTTGAAAAAACAAAACAAAACAAAAAAACCTTAGATAATTTTAGGTCTTATGTTATCACTTCTTGATTCCTATAGGCTGTCCCTCACAGCCACCGTGTTTAGGCATAAGGCTGGAAAAGAGATTTCTTTGTCATAATGGGAAGTGATACAAGTAGGGTCCTTCTTAGAAAAGGGATATGCAGGTATGACTTAAAATGAAAGATACTTCTTCTTGGATAGTTTATTCGGCAGTGTAAATATTCTGAAATGAATTTGGCAGAGTAAATATTCTGAAATGAACCTTTACAGGTAGAGTAATTAAAGAGTTGAAGCTCAGAACACTGCCTCTCTGGTTGGGTGTGAAGGTACAATTTAGTAGGCAAACTGAGGCATTTTCCTAGAGGCTGGAAGATACATTGCCAAGTGGAAAGCCAATGCAGATCTTGTTTTGCAGATCTGGAGACAGCATTTGTTCTCTCTGAGGCTCTTGTTGCACGCATGTTTGTAGAACCCATTTGGTCAATGTAATTTAACTTGCTTTGTGAAAAGTGGCAAAGACGCTAAGAAGAAAGCGGGTGGTGTAGGGAACTGTTCCAATCACCAAGTGATTTTCATGTAATAGTTGAGATGTGTCATTGTAAGATCACTATTTTCCCTGGCTAAGTTGTTTACAGACATTCCTATAAAAGTCCTTCAGTCTGCATCTAACCACGGAATGATTTTATTCCAAGAAACCTGAAATCCAAGAGTCCTATTTTCACTACAGGTTGTGCAAAAGCTGGAAAAATGACCCGTTAGGTAATAATCTTAGGCACATTGACCTTCGCATAAATAGATATGTATTGTATGTATGTAAACACGTGCATGTTTTGGCTTTAAAAGAGTCTTTGATAAATGTACTATTTATTTTATATTATTGACCGTATCTCAAATGGGCCTTTCCACACATATCATTATTATCATAAATTCATCACTGGGAGCTATAAAACAGCCAAATTGTGAGTTATTAGGAAGATAGCTTTTCAACAAGTAGCTGAACATTGAATAACTTGAATTCACATTTTAGTAGCTGGGCTTGGGGAATCAAAAGAGTTTTTGTTTCCAGATTTTGCTTTATGAAATAACACATACACTTAAGTATAATAAATACTCTCACTTACCAATGCTGGTGACAGTGACACATATCCTAGCAATTTCTTGTACTGTTCAAAGGTGAAAAACTGTGAAACAAAACCAAACCAGAGATTTATAACAATTTCCTGCAACAAACCCTTTAATTGACTCAAATTTCTTTAGTAAATCATTATATTGACCAGCGTTTTAAAGAATGATAAACTCTCTAACAGTTTTTAATCTGGTCTCGGGTAGTTGTTATTGGATCATACTTTAACATTCACATTTTCAAATGCAGCAATAATAACCTACAGAAGAGCTGATGGAATCCTTTATAGCAGCAAATGAACCATATAGCTTCCATTTACCATGACCATTTTCGGTTTCCCCAGACATCAATAGACTTCTTTTTTATGGCAGTGATTCAAAATTATAGGCATAGAGACCTGAAATCTTTGGTCTCCTATGTTTTCTCTAAGAACTGCTTTCCCAGTGAACGCTCAGTTTTCTGACCCACGTGTAAAAGACCCACTTCCCAGCCTTGACTTGCATTTATATTGCTCTGTGTCTCCTCTCTGTTCCATGAACTTCCTAAATACTAAATGATGGTGAAGATGCCATGATAAAGATAGAAGGACCTGATGAGGTCATCTACACCTTCTCCTGCCTTAAAGTAAAACTTTCTTCAACTTAAATGAAGAGAGATGCTTACTTTTTCCTTTCAAATCTGATAATGATGATGATGAAGAGGGTTTTCTTGGTTCCTTCAGCCAATGTTGTTTAACATAATTTTCTCTGCAAACTAATTTCTATGGAGGTAGATCTAATCAATCACCTCATATAATATAGCCAAGATTCATTTTTTTCCCTCTCTCTCTCTCTCTCTTTTATATTTTGGGTAACAACTCTGCTTGAGCATGATGTTTTGCTTCTGAGGACTCTGTCAGGTAACTGCCAACATCGCTGATAAGGCCCATTTGTAGGTCCCATTAGGATCTGATTCTAAAGTCTCCAGAAATGACATAAGAGTAAATGGTACCAAATGTTTCCTACTCTATTACCTTATCTGGGAAGACAGGCCTGGTGATGTGCCTCTGAAAGTTCACAACCTTGAAAATCCTATAGAACAGTTCTACTCTGCACACATGGGGTCTCCATGAGTCAGAATCAACTTGACAGCAACTAACAAAAACATTACCTTACAGTAAAATGGAGCAAGAAAAAAATACAGATATGGGGGCCAAATAATACTCTGTTGTTAGAAAGAGGTGGTTCCTTGTAGACATGACTGTAATGAATCTTTGATCAAAAAAGCCATTATATCACTAGACAGATTTTAAAGACCCAGAAACAGCTTTTGTGCCATGGTCCTTTAAATCAACAATGGATGTAGACTTTTCTAGAAAGGGGATTCATTCATTCACTCATTCATCAAATACTGGGTGCCTCCTGTGTTCTAGGCACTGGGATGGCAGTAGTATCTAAACAAACAGAAACCTCTGCCTTCTTGATCTAACATTCTAGTAGATGATGATAACCCTGAAACTATTCTGGCATCAAAACAGTACTCACCAGGGACCACCGCTATTGTGATGTGATGTGTACTAGAAATCATTAACCATGGAAGGAAAAGTGTTATCGTCTTAGGTTTTAAAGATAATTTATTTTTCTTCTATCCTTATGATCATAATCATCGCTATTCTTTGACGATCATCTTGTTGGGATTTTGAAGTGAGCAGTCCTGGGTCTGAATCCTGGCTATGCTACTTAGCTATGAAAGCATGGGAAAGTCACCTAAACTTTCTAACTCCCCAAAACACAAAACTTGCCTTTTAGAGTTGTTATTAAATAAGATAATTTAAGGAAGATTCCCTGGCATGCCTGGCACATAGAAGACTTTCAGTAAATCTTAGTTTCTATTCTTCTTCTTCACTTTAGTTGTTAAGGGAACCATAGATGCCTTGGTTATATGTACCACTTGTGAGAGCCTACCATGGTCTAGGAAACATGCTAAGACCTTTGCATGTGCTACTGCATTTAATCCATACAACATCATCAGGTAAGAGGTTATAGTGCAATCATGATTCCTATTTTATAGACATATGTCCTGCAGCTAGTGAGTGGAAGGACTGGGATTTCCCTTTAACTCTAACTCCAAAGCTTGTGTATATTCTCAACTACTATACTATACTAGGAACCCTAGTGGTGCAGTTTAAGAACTCAGCTGCTAACCAAAAGGTTAGCAGTTTGAATCCACCAGCCACTCCTTGGAAACCCTATGGGGCAGTTCTACTCTGTCCTACAGGGTCGCTATGAGTCAGAATTGACTCTACGGCAACAGGTTTGGTTTTTTATACTACTATACTACACTATACTATACTATACTAATACTCTATGATACTAATACTATATGATACTTATTCACTGCTAAGCTGTGATTGTTAGTGGTTTGAGAAGAGATTCTCTGCCCTAGGGTTTTTCTTGCTGCTGGGGATGGTTCTTCTTGCCTCCTCTGAAACCTAGGATGGCCACACAGACACTGGAAACCCTGGAGACCCTCAAGGCAAAGGATTTCAAACTTTTTTTTGAGAACAATCTACAGCAAAAAAATATTTACTCAACACACACATAACACACACACACACACACACTCACACACGTGTGTTAGTAAGGTCAACATGTAATTAAGTTATTTACTACCCAAAGTATGACTAAGGAGTTTTGGAAGCATTCATATTTAATCAAGGTTTTTGGAACTTGGACATAAAATGTGGAATCCAATTAACTAGGCTATGTTGTTGCTGTTGTTGTGTACAGTCGAGTTAATTCTGATTCACAGTGACCCTACATGACAGAGTAGAACTGCCCCCATAGGGTTTCCTAGGCTGCAATCTTTATGGGAGCAGATTGCCAGTGTTTTCTCCCATGGAATGGCTGGTGGGTTTGAACCACCAACCTTTTGGTTAGCAGCTGAACCCTTAAACTGCTGTGCCACCAGGGCTCCTTAACTATGCTATATAGAACCTATATGGTGGAATGTAAGTGATAGTCTGGCTGCATTTGTCCCAGGGAGAGGGGGCTGGGTCTGGAGGACAGGCCATTGTGGTCCCTGGAGAAGTATAACGTTGTGGTAGGGCAGAGGAAGGTCAGTACATTTTGCCACAGTCTGGGTGAACCAGCTTTCCAAACTGTGCTTTTCCCTTTGCTTTCAGTCCATGCTCACTAAGCAATCTTCTGATGATTAATCTGAACTCAGAATACTCAGGAGAAAGATGTGGCAGTCTGTCTATTCTGGGATGCTGTTAAACTACATGGCTGGTGAGAACAAGCACTATTCCCAGCCCTGCGTGAGTGCAGAGCACCATTTCTTCTAATCCTTTTGGATGGTTCTTTCCCAGGCCTCGGTAATTTCCTCACCTGCGTGCACTGCTCAGCTGCATACTTGAGGGTGCCCTCTCTCTCTGTGCTGTTCTCTCTGGTACTCTGTCCTGTGAATGCTAGCCACCTTGGTATCCCCAGACCCTCAGCCTGTCTCAAGTCAGGGAGTCTACTGGGTTCTCTCTGCCTGGATTCCCCTTCCCTGACAGGGGGCCTGGAATCTCTCTCAAGGCAGTAAAGTGGGGCAATCCTAGGGCTCATCTCATTTAGTTCCCAGTTCTCAGATACTATTATCCTTCGTTGCCTGATGTTCAGTGTCTTGAAAACCATCGTTTCATATATTTTGTTCATTTTTTGTTGTTGTTTCAAGCGGGAGAGTAAATCTGGCCCCTGTTACTCTAGCTTGGCCAGAAGCAGAAGTCTTTGGCCTTCCAGACACTCTGATGTGGAAATTTGGAGGAAAAGGACTGGAATGTCTTCTGTTATAACTTAATGAATTTTCTTTGTATCTCTCTCTCTTTTATTTGTTCATTTAATATGGATTGAACGTCTGCTATGAGTTGTTAGGTGCTGTTGAGTTGGTTCCAACTCCTAGCTACCCTGTGTACAATAGAACAAAACGCTGACCCGGTCCTGTGCCATCCTCTCAATCGTTGTTATGTTTGAGCACATTGTTGCATGCACTATGTCAATGCATCACGTTGAGGGTCTTCCTCCCTTTCACTGACCCTCTGTTTTACCAATATGATGTCCTTCTCCAGGGACTGGTCCCTCCTGATAACAAGTCCAAAGTACTATGATAGTTGTAGGGACACAGTAATGAACAGCCTTCACAGCTTATCATCTCTCGTGATTTTGGTTAGCATTACGGAGTCCTTGATAATCTGAACGTGGAAAATGATTTTTCTCGACCTGCAAAGCTCAAGACTAGACTCTGAAACCTGGAACATGGTGACTCCCATCTCTGAGGTCCAGTTGATCTGTTTTTGAGGTCTTTATTTTGTTTTGCTAACTGTAATATTAACACTGTCTTAACTTGTGGAAGGGAAAGTTTCATTTATTTAGCCTTGGTAAGTCTTCTTATTTTAATAATGAATCTCATTTCAAAGAATAATGTACAGAAAAATTTAAAATTGCTTCTGATTATAGTAATGATTGTAACTAAAATGTGAGTTACAAGGAAGATACACACAGACACACAGTCTGAAATTTTTTTTCCCCTGAAGCAAACTTTGATGACATACGATGAAGCAGTTTATGATGTATGAAATCGTTACAATCAGGTGATCGTTTTCCTCACAAATCCTAAGATAAATATCTATGAAATGAATGTTTTCATAAGTTGTGTCAAAAAACTAGTGCTATCCATCTGGCAAAGATATAAGATAACTCCAAGTTATACTTAAAAAGCCAAAGTACTTACCATATGTCTCGATAATTTTAAGGTAAAATCTACTTGAAACAAGATGTCTGGGATACATACACTATATCCAGTTGCCCAAAAGTTCATCTGTTAACCATTGTTCTGGCAGAGAACATTGCTTTTTTATAAGTAGAGACTAACTCAGTTTTGTAAAGCGCAACTCTTTTTTTTTTTCATAAAAGACTGTTCAACATTGATAAACCTTAATCCTTTTAAAGTTTAAATTGTCTCCAATACATGATATTACAGGAAAAAAATCCAGGAAAAACTTTAATTATAATTTACTTATAAATGTAAAACACTGAACAAATGAATATATTATTTCATGCAGACAAAGTGACTTTCCTTTTAGACAGGAACTCTGCTCTGTTTGTTTACTTGGGCAATCTTTTATCAAGTGAAGCCATTTCATAATTCAATTCAGTCCTTTTGTGTACTTTGGTGAACTTTTTCCAGATTCTCCACTGCGATTCAGATCCTTATAATGAAATTTGTATTGAAGTAATAATATAAAATCACAAAAGCTACAGCAACAAAGAGGATGACTTTATAGAGAAAACATGTTTTTAAGCTTTGTTTTCTGAATTCCAGACCTGAGCCAAGTCCAAATCCTTGACATAATGTGAAGTTTGGTGTTTGTGGAGGTATGTTGGTTATTTTATAATTTTTAACTCAGTCACCGTCTTAGCTTACTGAGTAAAAGTATGTAAGCTGCCCCTTCTTACTTTCCAAGAATACTGGGAATACAAATTGAGTAATGTATGTGAAAAAAACTTCATGTTATTAGTTGGAAGGGAATTCTTTTAATCTAAGTTTTTATGATCAGTATTATGGAAAGACAAAGCCATATTTGGTGATGTCTGTGGTGTGGGCGAGATTGGTAAGAATCACTGTTACCAGTCTGAGAAGACATAAGAAAAAAGTGATCAAATTTAGTTCTTTCTCTCCTGGAGGTCCTGCCAGATCCCTGTGTTCCTATCCAGACACTGAACCAACAAGTATACATAAACCTGCACAGTTCTGTGGTTGAAAGGATGGAAATTCAGGTAGTGGAAGTAATAGTATCGTAAGACCCAGAATAGACGATTTTTAACAGAAGAGACCAAGGGATAAAACGAACTTAGCAGGCAAATAAATGTGTTCTATGAGCATCATATACAAAGAAATCTAGTGTATTTGATCACTCTGTTCATAAGATATTGGGAATGATTTGGGGAGAAAGGTTTTTCTACCTCTCCTCTCCCATTCTCTTTTAAAAATAATTATTGCTCCAAAGGAAAATTTCTAAATTGCCTTGAGAAAAGGTCCAAGCTATCTGTGGCTGCTGTGGCTTAATTACATGAATTTAATTCACCACTATACTTTTTGTTTAATTTCCCCATTAGAAAGGGAGTGCTTTATCTGAAAAAACAAATACACCCACAGTATATGCTTATTTGAGATACTGACCAAGTCTAATAACAGAAAAAACGATGCTATAATTTCTTAATTAAAATTTTTAGTTTCTTATGTTTAACTCACATTAATGTTCCATAGCTTGTTGTGGGACGTTTTAATGCTGAAGCTGTGACTGCAGCTTATTTTCACTTGGTGGGAAGGTAGACAGTACTTACCTTCACTGCTCTTTTTGGTGTTTCAGCCAGGATGGGTGGCAGAATTCCCTTGTAAAAGCCAAACAGCCTGTTGGAGAAATAAAAGATTTTTATACAAGTATAAGGGTAATTCTGTCTTTGTTTATAAATAAAGCAACAAATCCTAAAGTGTTCTCAATTATTCAGTGTAGCACACCAATCATCAAGTCTTCCTTGTTTTAATTCTAAGGTAGAGAGATGATGAATTCTACATCTATTTGTATTATGATATTCAGAAGACAAATAAATGATACTGAGACTGGAGTCCTTTAGGTTAAGTTGCTAAACACAACCATGAATTGTACCTTAAAGATGAAGCTGACCCTCCTTACTCTAAGGAATTTGTTTTCTCAATTGTATGGTAGGTAGCTTCAAACTACCTGTTGTTTTTAGGTTGAGTTGGCTCCCTACTCCTGGCTATCCCATGAACAATGGAACAAGAGGCTGCCTGATTCTGTGCCATACCCATGATGGCTGGGGATCAGACCATTGTGATGCATAGGCTTTTCACTGGGTATAAATCAAACCTGGGTCTCCCATGTGGGAGGAGAGAATTCTACCACTGAACTACCAATGCCTCACTCAAACTACCTTCAGTCCTGCATTTGCTTTCTTGTGGAAACCAAATAAGGTTAAGGTTATACCTCAGAGCACTAGACTAAAACTTTCTGAGGTTAACAAAGTGATGAAATCCTAAATGTTAGTTATACTAAAACAAGGAAATTAACAAGCTCTGTAACAATGGTACCAGGCTTCCCAGCCTTTTCCTCAATTAGTCATAACTTTTTAACTTCCTTGGTGGAAGAGGAAGAAGGTCAGGGCAGAGGGTTGGTTATAAAGATATGCGTTGCCAAGACAGGAAATGTCAAACTCCTTCCCTGACAGGCAATCTCACAGGGTGTGGAGGCAGCTATTGTTGCCAGTATTGAGGGTCTGTGGTCACATATTCAGATGTTTTTAGGAGAAAACCCCAAAATGAGTGGCATGTGCTTATGATAAGACTTATAGAAGCTATCACTTATTTCTAATTTGGAGCCCTTGTGGTGAAGTGGTTAAGATCTCAGTTGCTAACCAGAAAGTCAGCAGCTCAAATCCACCAGCCACTCCTCAGAAACCCTAAGGGGCAGTTCTACGCTGTCCTATAAGGTCACTATGAGTTGGAATCAACTCGAAGGCAATAGGTTTGGTTTTTATTTCTAATTACATTTTAGTTTTCAAAATTGCAAATTTCTCTACCCTGAAATCTTCATATGCATGCCATATCCTCATTTTAAACCTGAAAATATATAAATAGAAGAAAATACTTCACATTATTTTCTGAGGTAATCAGTTTTCCTAGTGAGCTTGTAAGTGGCTACAGAAAAGGACAGGCCTCAACTTGCCCTATTTTAGAATATCCATGTTTTATGGGGCTGGAGGCTCTCTGATGTCTCCCCAAGCCTCACTCCAACTCCTTTAAATTGTGTTCTGCTTTTAGCTGTGCGTCTGGAAGAAGAAAGTTAGAGCTTATTCAGATTAACTCACTGTGCCACCCAACCCAACATAGTGACCTCTTTCTCATCCTTGGATTCACTGGCTTACAGAGCACCCTTCAGTGACGTGAGCAAAGGGCTTGTCTTACAGCTTCTAAATTGTTAGCTCCTAGAGGGCAAGGATACTTTTTACATTTGCAACCCCTTAGGGTGCTTACCTCAGAGCCTTCTCTGTGTGTGTGTGTACATAACCAGAACACAAATATTTGTTAAGCATATTGATTTCATGAAGCAGAAGAAAGGAATCAAATGGGGTAAGCCCTGATAAGGGCCTACTCTGTCCACTATTTTTGACTTAAGATAGTGCTAGCATTACGACTAGGAAGTAAAGCAGGCATGTGATTTGAAGAACTCTGGAAATAAATTCTCCCCACCCCGTTTCCATTCCTATTTCAACTACTGATGCCTGAAATTTTTCCATCAACACTAAAATTTCCTCTAAACACTTTTAAAATGTAAATACCAACATTTTGTATCATTTAAATTTCAGTATAAATTAAGTATTTTATCCTTTTTAGCAGGAGGGTGAGCTCAGAATAGGTTTGGTCCTTCCAAAAGGTAAATGTGATTTTCTTGAGTAGATATTCTGTATCTATATTGAAAGAAGTTATAGTTCTGTTTTTTTCTGTGCTGATCTTTCCACACCTGGAAGATTATGCCTGGTTGTGGGAAACAAAATTGAGAGGAGCATCTAACTAAAGCTCTTTAAAGAGAGTGTTCAGGTTGATAGAGGGAACTGAAATCCCATAAAAGAGAAAACAGTTATAGGAAGAACAGTTGCTTAGCCTGGAGAAGATCTTAGGGAGAGACATGATGAACACGTTGGATATCTTAAACAGTGAGCATCTAAGAGAGAGATTAGACTTTTCTGTTTGTTTCCAGGTGGTATAGCTAGGACCAACAGGTGGAAACAAGGAAAGACATATTTTTGGCCCAGTAGGAACTTAATACAAGGAAGGAATTCTAACAGTCAGAACTATCTAAAGATAGAATGGACTTTCCTAAAAAGTAGTAAGTTCCTATTTATGGCATTTGGCCAAGCAATCTTGGATGGCTCCTTGCCACCGATGCCAGAGACTGATATAGACAGCAATGGATAGACTTGATGGCCCTCAGTGTTGATCTATTTCAACCTCAGATTTAGTTATTCTAATAAAAAGAAGAAGACATTAGTAAGTGCTTTTCTAAAGAGACAAACTCTGCCTTTCTTCAAACTTTTGCCTAAAGTATAGCACTTGTTCTCTGGAAGAGGACTAAAGTCTTAATAAGTAACACAGAAGGTCTTCATTTTATAAGTGACGGGAGAAAATATTAAAAAGAAGTATAAGGCAGGAGGGAAGAGAGAGGTAGCTGGGAGAACCATAAGGATCTAATCTGAAAAGAGCTGGGAGGTCCAGAGCTCTCTGCTTCATGTTGGTGATGCTTCCTTGATGCTTCCTCCTTCTCTTCTCTCTGCTCGGCTCCTCTCTTGTGCAATCATCATCTCCACTACCACGCCACCCATCTCACCATCCTGAGCTTTCTCAACAGTGAATGAACAATTTTAGCTGGAAATTCTCAAGGACCACAGGCAGTCTTTGCTGCAAATGCAAAGCTAGAACTATTTCCTTACTTTATTTTCACTGATTCTCATGGTATATCCATGTAATAGTGGACATCTATGGGTTGTGTCACCTTGGGTTGACAGAATAGCCAAAACAAAGGACTCAAACATATCAATGATCATGAAAATGGTGCAGGACTAGGCAACATTTAGTTCTGTTATATAGAAGGTCGCCAGGAGTTGGAGCTGACTCCACAGCACCTAACAGCGACAACAACAACATGGAATGGTCAGGTCATCACTCCTTATTCTGAAAACTGCCCCACCTAAGTTTGTTTTTTTTTTAATTATTGGAACCAACATACTAGTATGATAGTGCTTGCAGGTAGCAGTTGATTGGGCACTTCATCCAAATGGATCCAAATAGTATTCTAGCTCTTTGCCCAAGTTAATTGGTCTATGGGTGGGTGCCTGATCCAAGCTAGTCCTATCAGAGTTGTTTTCCAGAATTTTGGAACTGGAACTAAAAAAGGCAGACTTGTTCTCTGTGGTTAAAGCTCTACGATATAAAGCTAGGATACCATAAATATCCATGATTTCTAACATCTGGAGAAAGCCAGTCTGCAGTGATAAAAAAGAAAAAAACTACCATTCAGGGAACATAGAAGCAAGACGGAGAAGTTCTGGTGCTGTCTGAGACCCTGGTTCCAGGTTTTCTTTAAGCCTCACTATATCTAGATCCTTATTGAACATTGCTTATTTCACTTTACATTTGATTCTATGAGATACCCAGTAACATTTCCAATAAATTCCCTCTTTTACTTAATTAAGTTTGAGTTGGGTTTATTACTTACAGTCCTGAGACCTGGATCCAGAAAGTAAATCTTGGGACCCCTACAGCCAGAGTGGCTGTGGAAGTACCTCTTTGCCATGTCTTTTCATATGAAGAGACTTTTGTTAGTTAAGATTGATCTGGGGTCAATCAGAAGGGTCACATACCAAAATGTGAGCAAGCGAATGGGAGCCAGAGCTAAAACTGATGACCTATTTTTTTGACTTGATTAGAAAATGATTGAAGATTTTCATATTGTAAAGTATGATATACAGATTCTGAAAAAACAAAAAGGAATTGTAATGTTTTAGAAAGGAGATTGTTTTTTATTTTTCTTCTGAAGAACTGATGTCAACTTCTTCTGCCTTCATGTAGTTTTGGCTTGATATACAGAGCAGGTAGCTTAACAGCACATTGAACAGGGAAGTTTAGGGACTTCCTGACACGCATATTAATGTGCTTCATCCTGCTTACTTCTCATATTAAGTCTACTAGTGGGATGAGAAGAAAGTGGGATTTTAAACATCTATGCAGCATTAGAACAGCAAAGACACCATTCTGGTTTTAAGTTTTGACCCACATCAAGCCAACTGGAGAAATCTGTGAAAGAGGTACCAGAGCCAATGCAACACTTCCCATAAAATTGTAGTATGAACTATATGACAGTCTTCATGTTTTGTTTCTTCAAGTTATTACTTTTAAAAGTTAAGAGTTTGATTATAACTGTTTTGTGTTGGAGAATGTTAACAGATATTTACGGACTTTTCCTAACTAATAAGTAAAAATAGTCAACATTTGTTGAATGCTTACTATGTTAAGAATAAGCATATTTGACATACGTACCTATATTAATCTCATTCAACTCTCACAACAATCCTTGGAAGCAGATGTGATTATTTTCTTCATTTTGCAAATGAGGTCTACTGGCACATCACCGTCTAATAGGGTGCAGGGACTCAAATCAAGTTCTGTTGCCCCCACAGTACATGTGCTTGACCATTTGTTTATGTTGTACGATAGTTTTTCTTGTTGTAAAACTATTTTTATAAAAACTTTTGAAAAGTTATTTTTGTTGTGACGATAACTTGTCATTTCTTATTGTAGGAGGATGTGGAAAAGGCAATTAAAAATCAGGTCTCTCT